GTCGCCCGCCACGATACCGACGGAATTTATGTTTGCAATTCATGTTTGTGAATATTGCTAATACACCCAGTATAAAAACGTACTTGCATGTAACGACAGTCTGATAGGTCTAAGAAAAAATTTAACAGCACTCAAATTTTTATAACATTGAATTTCATATTTCTGAATTTAATATGGATAGCCAACTAGAGTTCCATTGTAAAAAATCTTCTTTGTGGGTGTTTCAGTCGCCAATCAGCTCGGCTATGAATTTACAGGCTAAGAGGCGACATGCGATGACCTTCTGCGGTGACAACAAATGGATGACACCAGTGATAGTTATATCACAACTGTGACATGATGACGTGATATTCGAAGTGCTGTTCAGGTATATAATTGCGACGGTTACCGCTTACTATCAGTTGGGCTATCAAGTTCTTTGCCATTCCATGTAGGTACCTACATAAAAAATTGTATTTACATTTCTCATTTCATTACAGATAGGCTTGATGGAATTGGATCTATGATTTATGGAAAGTGAGGAAGTAGGTAACTGTTACCAATAGAAATGAATAGCAGTATACGCTTATATATATTAGTATAATAGAGTTGTACCTACGCTTATAAAAATATACAGGGATTCTTGTGGTAATATACATCCTTTATAAGTTGCTGTTTCTCAGGACTAAAGTAAGGACCTACTTGTTAGAGTGTAACTTCCCTTTCCCCAAGGCATACTCGTATCTATGGTAGACATGACCAGCATTTTGATATCCACATTTTGCTAAGAATATTTAAATCCAACTGAGTAGGGCACAACACTCTGAAAATAGAATATACTCTTCCACTGTTTCTAACAGAAAATTCAACAATAATGCGGTAGGTTAGTGGATTAGTTCTCAGCTAATTAAGATAACTCAATATGTCTGGTGGCAATAGAAATATGAGCTTACGCACGCGAGCGCAACCAACAAGTAAGCATTGAAAATTGTACCATATCATCTTCATTTTAAGTAAACAATTACATTTACTTTACTTACAAGTTTTTAAACTTATATTCCAAATAAATCAATGTGATAATAATTTAAATTATTAATAATAATAATTAATTGTAAGTTTCTAAAACCTTTCGTAAGCAAGTTGTCTTTGTATGAGAAAAAGGAACGTCTTGATAAAGACTCAGATAGACTTTGTGAAAGTTGTATGCGTGGGTACCTCTATCTCACCTATTTTAGCCGCCATCAGTTGACATTGTAAGCTGTGGGTTTTTTTAACGGTTGGTTATGGAATGATGGACCCGTCTGCGCTATCTGTTTACTCTAGCGGGGTACCAGTGGAAGATCATAAGTTGAGAATATGGTTAGGTCAGTTTGTCCATCGTGATTAAATAAAAATGGCTTTAACTACGGTGGTTTCCAGGGGGAACGCGCATCCCATGATAACGTGATGTCCGTTATGCTGCACATAGGCGATAGATGGCTTTTTTTTTTATTACAATTACATACATACGGATTCCGGCATTCTGAGGTCATATTGCTAGTACACAAATATAAACCGTACCTATAATTAGTATTATTAGGAAGACAGTGGGTGGTCTAAACTACGCATAGTGCTAAACCATATGTAGTAATCAAGTTACAAAGCAACGTAATATGAAAATACTTAATTAAACTAGTACCAAAATCCGATATCAGTAACATCGTGGCGTCACGAAACCCCGAGCCACCTAATAAAGTGAGCAGTCTCACGTTCCTAATTAGATCGTTAATTATAAGCCTTTCATGGGAGCCTTAATTCCTGCATAAATGACTATCAGCGAGGCAGCGTTAATTTTTGACCGGATTCCAGTTACGTAGTTCAGTTTGCTTATTTATGCCTATGAAGACTATTTTCTCAGATGAAATATGAAGTTTTGAACGTAAGACTATCAGTGAGGCAGACTTAATTTTGACCGGAATCCAGTTACCTGGTTCAGTTTGCTTATTTATGTCTATGAAGACTATTTTCTTAGGTAAAATATTAACCTGAGATGATATTGAAGAGATATTATTTCAATAAGAAAGAGACAAGTACGCTCTACTTTCTCTTCTTCTTTCTATTAACAAGGTTACTTCAATTGATATAGTTAGTTAGGTTTCATCACCATCAGTCCACTGCAGTCCACTGCTGGACATAAGCCATAGTTAGGTCTATGATGATACAAAATATGATCGTGAATAGCGTTATTTTAAGAAATAATGGCTATGATAGTTGTAACGAATTTGTGGACTGTATAGCCATACATCAATGTAATGAAAATACATATATAAAAATACAAATACAAAAACTTTGTACTCTCAAAAAAAAAATTAATTTGCCTAAGTATATTTTTGTTTCTAAAAATATAAACTTAAGATTAGACTTAGAAAAACAAATATTTGCTACGATCCAGGCGACTCGCTCATAAGACAATCATTATTACCTTTATGTACTGCTATCAATGATTGTCGATTCATATATTATAATATTAATACTTACCTACATTAAATTCAAAATTTGATTATCACGTGCGAAGGACATGTAACTAACACGTTAGACTAGTTATAATCTGGTACAAATGACACGTAACACCCAAGTACCAAACGCTCGAGCAAATAGCTAAGTAATGGCAGTCCCTCACCAGGTGGACTTGAGTCATTACTCTTGCGGTAATCCGCCGAATACACTCTGATTTATCGCGGCCCTACAGACGGACCGCCAAATTTAGCTGTTTTATAAAAAATGGGGCTTAGTTTCTTGAGTTATAAATAATGTTAGAAATCCTCGTTGTAACGGTAATGGGTTTTGGAACTATAACGCAATTCTGAATGGCGTTATCTTGGTATTTACTCATTCTGTTTTATGTGTGATATTTAGTGAAATTTGATTAAAACCTACTTTACAGTTTTCATAATAAATAGCCTGGACAATTCACACACCGCCATCTAGTGCCAAAGTAAGCAGATGGTGTGCAATGAGTACTAGACAACTGATACAAATACTTAAATATGTACATTTTTTTAAATACATACATAGAAAATACCAGGCCAACATAAACAATCATATTCGTGAATACAAATGTTCGTACTGTGCGTCTAATCGAATCCGCGACCATTGGAGTTAAGAAGTTGTGGAACCTGTGGATCATGTGGCCGTTAAATTTACGAAACAATTGTTACCCAACTATATATATACACTGTCTGTATATAGTTATACATATGCTAACTAAATTATTATTTAAATGAGTAGTCAGAGACATTGTCAATTGTCTCATCATTGTTTGCATCACTTGAGCGTTAGTCAGAATTATAAATAAAAAATTTTCGATGTGTGTAGATATGATCTGACGGAAGGTCGTATGTAAGTTGGATAATAAACCACTAATGCGCGACATTTTTAATGGTTTATTTAAAATGTGTAGCATACCTGTAATTATTTAACAAAATTTGTTTATTAAAGTACACGTATACTAAGTTGGCAGGTATCTATAACACGGCTTAGTAAAGACGAATATACTACAGCGAAAGAATTGAACCCCACATCCCGTGGCGGCCTCGCATGCAAACTTCCTGTTTGGCACGACACCACGGCTACTTTTCTCAATACAGTCTATGTTTTATACCTACTAGAGATGTACTGAATTCCATATTCTATTTGTTATGTATTATTAACAATACTACAGCTATTAGCTATACTAATCACATGATCGCTATGATGCTGTTATGTACACAGCATCATAGAGATCATAGCGATCACATATAGGCGACGGCACGGAAGTGCTTCATCAGCTCGTTTGCCATTCCAATTTCTTTCATTGACTCTTAGTTCCATGATACCACAGCATCTCACAAATAAAACACTAATTTAAGTACTTTAGAATGATGATGAATAGGTTAGCCGTATTGTTGATTTATTTTGTATTGTTATTCTTCATCTATTGTTTAGTACATGTGATTCTTCTGCACGTGTCTCTCTAACTCTTCCTAAAATGCTGGAACGTTATAGATAAAATTTTATATCTGTCTTTTAATGGGTTCATGGATGGTTTGAAATCACAATAGAAGCCGGGAGGTAAGAACCTGCTACTTTTCCAGTTAGGAATACGTCTACCGGGTACATATATACTACCGGGTACATATATATACCGGGTACATATACATATATACATTTTTACTTTAGATATGTATTTATATCTATAAAAAAATATTAATTTATCGAAATTTTGACTCTTGAAATGTTTCTTCACAAACCTAGGTAGGTTCCATTTTTCCATAAATATAGTGAACATTTATGATACATACTTACCCAAATATAATAGAAATTAACGATTTGTATGTGTAAATGACTACTTTAAACATGTATTCCATAAATTATAAAATACTAGGTAATATCGATAAATTCATACCCCATCCCTAATATCTACCTACATACATGTTTATTTACGTAAGTACATATAGACGTATTCATGCCAACTCGTTTTTCGAACAAGCAAGCCACTTCATTACGCCCCGAACGTGGTACGATCATAAATTTGCCATCATTGGCAAATACGAGACAAGATAAGACGGAACGAGCCTCTCTCGCGGATCTGGCGACCTTTGGTGACCACCTTTAACGTGAATTGATGGATTAACAACGCAATCTGGGAACCAATTCAATACAAAATGTTTTCTGACATTTATTTGACGATAGCCTATTTATGACAAGGAAGTAGGTTTAAATGTGACTATCACAAAAAAACTTCGTGTGGCAATTTTCATTTCTGACTGACTTTACGATGATGGAGACTCCGATAAAAACTTAAACAAATTAGTTCTAAGGACTAGGTCTGAATTGCCCCCCACCTTCTCGACTTCAGTTCAATGTGAGATTCAAATATAGGTATAAGTAGTCTATCAAATTGATTACGTTAACTTAATGTAACATAAGAGATAGATAATAAATAAACATACATAACTTAAAATTAGGGTTGCAATTTGAAGAACTAAAGTAAACGCAGTGAATACAGTAACAGAATTTTATTTAATGCAGATCCATTTCGCACTATAGCCGACATTGTACAAAAAATTATAATATCGCTTTCCGTTCATATGATAGGTAGATAGGTAATATAATAATTACACAACTTTTCACACAATTACAATCATTAAACACAAACATTTAAATCATTTTCTACACTAGAATCCCGCGAGTTCATTTAAGTATTCCTTCATTTATTACTATTTAATATTAATTAATTATGTTACATTACAATAAATTGGGCCTACCTAGTGTATTTACGTATGACAAATGCTTCGTTACGAGGACAAATTTATGTTAAATATTCGTGAGCACGCTTCAAAGGAAATTCATTAAAAACCATTTCGTACTAATAAGTTCCACCAAAACCCGTGACTGATAATTCAGTGTTCATAAAACAAGTGAACTAATTTTGAATTCCGAAAATATACAACAAAAATAAATTCATTACATACCTTATGTATAGATATAAATAATTAGTTTATAGTAATTATATTTACAATATATAACAAAGAGAAAACTTAGACGAAGATTCTTTCAAATAAACAAAATTACGCATCGTAAACAATAAAACAATAAATTAAGGAACTATAAGAGGTATGAGTGTGTGATGTTACTATTCAATGTAAGTAGAAAACAATTTGGCACTTCCATAAAGATAAATGAAAAATGGAGTTGAAAGAATCTTATCCAAATTTTACATTCTACATTATACAGGAAACAAAGTTACGTATATGTTTATAGGAATCCAAAAATATTACCACTACTTGTATCTTAAAATAAATTACATTATTACTTAATTTAATTAGCTATTCGTATACTGGGCACAACTAGTTTTGATTCGTGTCATTTTTTAAGTGACTATAGGTAAACTATTTGTCTAAGAATAAGTTAAGCTATCGACTAATAAATGGAATATTTTTCATACTAAAGCTTTTGTATTTACGTATATAGGATCGCTGACGTGTCGCAATGTAACAAAATAATTTATTCAAATAATGTTATGAAACCTGCCAAAAACAAGACTCAATTTATGAGATCTTAGAAGTAATAAATAACAACTTTTTTAGTTAGCATTCGATAATCAAAAAATTAAAACAAATTAAAATATTCATTTTGCTCATGCGACATCCAGCACAAAATATATTGTAAAAGTCTGTAATAAGTAATACTATAAAATATTGTGTACGTATACAGACGTTGTACATCAGATTTTTTGTTACAATTAGGTACATACAGACTAACCTTAATATTTACATTAGATATTATTATAACTATGTTATCTTAACACGTTCAATGCTTGCTTTTATATATTATAAAATACTGATGATGTTATATTTAAGTGAATTATTAAATGGTTCAATAAACAACACATTGATGAAGCTAGACAACATATATCGAGATCAAACACATACACCTGCTTCACCGTTTGCTTATAATTTGTTTAAATTTTATATGGTATACAAATATTGAGCAATTATATAATATTCACTCTCACAAAGGCAATGAACGTGTTAACACTAAATCGTGTTTTGAACATTTTTTAACCCCACTATCACCATTATGTACCTATATCAACCAGAACCTTTATACGACCTTTAATTATTCTTTATACTTTAATTATGTCTTGCTCAACAAAATACCTCTTGATGTATCTTAATATAAATATGAAAATCATCCATAATAATGGAATGGAAATCTTGAACAGTCATGCAAACTAAAGTATGTAATAAAATGCCTACACATGAGCGAGTAACTATAAAGAGCTGTAAAACCCACACCGATTCGACTCCGGGTTTTTGTAGATAAAGTACGATTTCGAGTGAGCGATAGTGGGGCACGATTCGCACGATAAATAAAAACACAATTCCATTTGAAGCTCGGAGCTGCGGCGCGGCGGCCGTGTCCCGTGTACCTCAGCAGGCGTTCAAGATTTATACCGGGAGATGCGGAACAATATATCACGGAACCAAACGCGGGAACTCGACCTATGCCTAGTGCAGAACAGCCACCGTACCGATGGAACATGATAGCAGATCAGTTCGATAGATAGCGGCACTCTCGTAACTAACACTCGATAACTGTACGTTTAATTTCAAAAATATAAAATTTTGTATAAAGTTTCTTCACGGCGATCGTTTCGCAATTTCTTACACTACTCAATAACGTATTAATCAATATTAATAGACACATCTATTTAATATCTCCATATATTTATTCATAAGTTAAGGTAAACGATAAATAAGCGGACACCAAACCGCGATTTTTCATCCGAGCTTCATATAATTTATAGTCGACGATGATATCGCGACTGGTTCTTTTATTCGTGAAATAGTGATACGCGGAGTGTGCTCGGTAAGCGTTACTAACGGGAAATTTTGACAATAAATCTCCGACAGTCGATTGCCTAAGCGGTTGTGTGGGCGGGCAGAAAAATGTATTCTATAGTTGAATTTTGATATCTCGATAGCGTCACAGGCTTTATGATTTCAAAATTAAAGTGGATTTAGAGAGACAACATACGGATGTGAAGCGTGCTGTAGGATTCGGGACTAGCATCTTCCCTAACACCTACCAAAACATCGTTAACGTATTACGCGACGACCACCTGAAACAAAAAGAAAAGCGAAATGAATTAAAATGCCAATAATAAAAAAGTAAAATGCAAACAGCGTGTTTTATGGCAAATCATTTTAACACTAAAGCGATGACAGTCAAGTGCACATAAAATTTTATGAATAAAAACGTTTACTATATTAATAAAACATGTCATGCTTCTTCCAACTAATTGACATTATAAACATCAATAACGCATCTATTTCAATATTTAAACAAACAACAATTTATCATCGTCTCGAAATACGTCCTCATAAACAAGGGCGGACTTAAAATGCAAATAATTTCGCGCGAGCCCCATGGGTATGTTAAAACAAACTCAGCATTCTAACAGCTTTCCATTATTTATCGCTTACGCTCACGGAAAGGCGATTTTTTCAGTTAAAGTTAATTTCTAGCGTAATGCGTATTTGATAAAAGGCTGTATCTCTGGCAGCCAGGCTCCGACGAGCCCGGTCTGAAATTAAGATGTAACATGATGCGAGAACGAGCAAGAGCCGCTAGATTTATTGCTATACCACTTTGCATATGCTGATTTACAAAGACGATGGACACTATACAGAGTGGATGCGTGTGAGACAACTATAAATTATGTGTGACAATCAATTTAAATCTGTCGATGACCTTGTTTATATTAACGTAATATTTAATTAACTCAGAAATTAAAAATAAATCACCTTAAGCATTTTTACATATCTGTTAAAATTTTCACTATATAATATTGTATTGGAATGTGTATGTATATTTATTGTTATGTTTATGATCTAATCCAATTAGTTCATTACTAGAACAATTATTTATTACCTTCTTAATATTACTCTTAGTACTTGTAAGAAAGCTAGTAAGCCCGCCGTACGATTAATCGTACATAGTAATAAGTCTACAGATATTGATTTATCGAAACGTTTATATTTATTGTTAATAAAAAAATGTATTCAGAAATTATGATTACTTTTTGATATACTAGATCTTCATAATATAATAGTAATATATATATTACTATTATAAAATATATTGATTTAGATAGATACCAGCAAAACATGCTGAATGAATGTATAAATATTTTTAAAATTTATAACCACTTTTGAGTATTTTAAAAAATATACATGGATGTACACCTTGCTCTTTCCGAAGTACTTCAAAAATAGGTTCTCAGATTGACTGCATTTTTATATGATGCCTCAAATGTTTTGTACACAAAAAGATTTGGTTAATTAATTTTGTAAATAATAGTGTGACCATATACATTTGGTCAATATTTGACTACTACTTCTTGAGTTATCCGTAATAAAGTAATTGAAGTCGGTTTTATCGTGGTCTGAAAAAATTAGTAATCGCAACTCTATATAGATATTTTATTGCTGATGTGGCCCATTCGCGACGAGGCGGGCGCGAGCGGGACGACTGTCTGGCGATCCGCAGTCAGCGGAAAGAAACATAACAGAAACGCTCACGCTTGCCTTGCTTTGCAATATCCTCCCATAGTTTGCAAACTGTTTTATAAAAAAAAAATAATAGCACATTCTACCTTAATATTTAAGATCATACTATCTATAAAAGGCTCCTACAGGACGTATTATTATAGTTTTATATTACGATATATATATTAAGAAAATTCATGAATCAGTAGCATTACATTATTTAAAAATCCAATATTCTACCAGCCTGAAAATAGGTCATTATTTAGATACTAAGACAAGTGTCAGTGATCTCTTACCTAATAAAGCATGTTCCGACCAAAGTGGCAACGATTTGTTCTAAAGGTAATTTATACAAAATTGTATTTAAGAAGTATTTTAGTTACATAAAAATCTCATTAAGATTAGGGATAGGAAAGTCCATGATTATCGTAATGTATATTTCTAATACTAAGGTCTGTACAAGGGAATTCAGATAATTTGGTAGCACTCTATATATTACGACTATGTTACGTTACGTAATCAAAAGAAATTGTTCCCTGTAAAAGTATAAATACAATTACAGTTACATAGAGTACATATTCAAAAAGTCAAAGTGCAAAAAGGCTACCTACCACTCGGCCGGGGAACTAATAAAGAAAAAGGACGCCAACCGAATAATTGATACGATTATGTGTTACCACTACAAAGTACAGACGATACATAAGGCTATATACAAACGTATTAAGTAAATCGAAAGAAAATATAATAAATACTTAATATTCTCTGTCTGTTTGTTACTTTCTTACGATTATACGTCTGAGAGAGAATACGTGAGAATAGATAAGAGAGGTAAAAATATCTAGAAAAGAATAAAATAAAGTTATGAAATTTCTATATTCATTATTGTAGTAGTTAAAACTACTACAATAATTATTCAGTAGAACTTCGTACATATAAAGCTACATTATTATCATCATATCAATTAATTACCTTTTCTATTAGGCATAAACCGAGTTATTAGTACATAGACACAAGACGATTACAAGATAGTGTTCAAGATGAGAAATCAAGTTATATTCTTACATTGTCATTATACAGAGTCTAGTCCAGTTACTAGTCTCTAGTAACTATTAACCTATAAATAAATAAACTGCAATATACAGATATTCAAAAAATATCATGGATAAAAATTTTAAATAGTCCTTTTAAGTCACGTAAACTTAGCAAGTTGACGTGTAAGTCAATGAACTGTCCACTAACATCCTGAATTCCTTTCTATTTGCAGCTGGCCAGTATGAACACAGCACCAAGAACAATGGAAGAAGGGCGGCTAGCGCTCCGTCAAGTGCGAGCGGCAATAAATCGTCCAGGACGCGCAATTTGTTGAATTACAGCATGCGCCAGCCAGCCACCGGGCCGACGCGAAATTAGCTCCCACAGAGATAAATTGACGGCGGGCCGCTAAATAAATTATTTGGGAAAACCGAGAAAAAACGGGCGTCTTCCCTTGATAAGGGTTGCGAGCGCTCCACCGTGGAAATAATGAATATCGACCGGCGTTGCGTAACTTTTCAAAGTATTGTCCGCTGTTGTGTTAAGTTGTGGATTTTGTCGTTATCATTTAGTGACATGTAATTATAGTATATTAGGTAAAGGTATACGTAAGCGGCTTATGATCAAAATATGTAGGAACAGTAATATATATAGCATTATAATAATGAGAAGATACAAAATAAATTTAGTGATGTGATTTCGAATACTTAATACAGATGGTATCTTATTTCTGTTCAAGGAAACCGTAGTAGTTCCTTTGCTACTTGGACTTACGACGATTCCCTCGCGAATGATAAGAAACACTACACGCAATCACATTACTAAATATAAGTCAATCTGATTAACGGTCACATAATTAAACAGTCACTATATCAAAGCCCACTCGGACTTGATTATAATAAAGTTAAATGAACGATTATCACTTTATACCGTTAGTTAACCTGACCACTGCTTCTCACGGTAATAAAGTGGCAGTTAAACTTCAACTTTACCTACGTATACACAGCAGAGTTTAATTAATTCTAAGAATAGGACGACAGTAGTCAAAGAAAATGGAGAGTTTATTTCAGTTTTTTTAGTATAAATGTGCTAAGAGTATTTCAAAGAACTCCTTTATCCAGGTTACAGGAACCTCTCTTAATCTTTCACAGCATTTAAGTTGTTTTGTTGCTCTACTGTTTATTTGTTTTTGTTCTTTTTTCTTTTAACTTTTAACTTTACTTTTTGGTATAATAATTACAGAAATCTGATATTTATATATTAGAAGCATATCTTTGACGTCGATTACTATGGTGATTAAATATACTACTGAATGTTATGACGGCATACATATGACGTATATAAATACATAACCACAGAACGATATTGCTATTGCTACAGCTAGAAGTATATTTTTTTATCTTTATTTTAATAATTAAGATGAATTAAAAATATAACTTCACTTTATGCTGACACATGTATCATATTAAAGATAAAGAGTTATTTTTCATACTATACTTCAATCTTTAAAGGGTTTCACCCTTTCTTTCAACAGGATTAATCTTAGTTGTATATTCGAGATTTAGCTGGCAATAAGAAAGATGCATAGGTGGGCTTACGGAGGGGCGAGAGTGGCAAATTGTCTCAGATCCCCCTCACTTGGTATTGGTATAAGAATTTTATTACATTCGTTAACGCATATTAGATTAATGTGTAAACATTTTATATGCAAATAAACTGTGTAAATCTGACAGTTGGTAGTAATAAGTTTGAAATTTAACACCGTGTATTCTTACAAAGATTATTTATCTATCTAGACAATATTGTCATTTAATAAAGTAGTTATATATATACTATATTCCATCATGCATTGCCATGCCTTTATTATAGACTTAGTTGCTACTGAGTATTTCGTTCATAATAATTCTTCTAACATCCGATACTGATTATACTCCCAAATGGTAATAAATAGATAGTAGACAAATGTATTTTTCTTGCAAATGTGTATGTGTAAACTATATCAAATTTGTAAAATTTATTTCAATTCATATGTAGATAAACATATGTACTTTCCTATTACCTGATATAAACAATGACTTATACCAAGTAAATACCTATAAAATTTGTTTACAAATACTGTCTATTAAAGAAAAAGCACGTTTAAAATTAATAGGTTATTGTGTGAATTCAATGTGAGTGAGATAATAATAATATTGTATAATCCTGTATTTGGTTTAACGATAACTAGCGCATGTTAGTTAAAATACTGTGTCCTACCATTACATTAATTGACTTTTCTATGATTAAAGTAAGCTGCTTTATTTTAGATGAGACAAATAATCATATAATAAGTAAAGTTTATTTTTCAATAATAAAATAAAATTACCTGCAGTAACAAAATAATACTGAATCCCCAATTTATAAAGTGGAGATCACAGTACAATGGGTAAAGCGAAACAGTAATGGCGTTGCGTAGCGAACACGTCAGGCGAGCCACATACGTCGGGCGGGGTGACGTATGGCCACTCCAGGTATGGGGTGGGACGAACGAACCCCCGCC